TTCTTTTTAAAAATTGGAACAATAGAAGCAGCATGAATGGGTGAAGTCAAGCTCCCACAGAACCACGGTTTTAGTTTAGCTTTCAGTAGTTGTTGGGATTTTTTGCTACATCTCTCTCTATCTCTTTGTTACAGCTAAAAGCTTGGGTTCCCTCTGCTGCCAGAATTGCATGTGAGACAATCTATTTTACTGAATTTACCTTTGCCAAGGGCATGTTTACGGGATGGTACTATATTGGAACAGTTGTTGTTTAGCACTTAAATAATCTTTTATTCTATTAAATTTTTTATAGAGTTAAAGTTAGACCAATCCTTTCTTTTTTTTAAATTTTAACTGTAGAGTAAGAACAATGTGTGTTTTGTTTAAAGCCGAATAGTGTAGCCAATTGAATTACATCTGGAACACAGTACCTTACACTTGCGTTCAAATTTTAAAAAATTAGGGTCTAGACTATTTCCTTGATATATTTGATGGGGCTTTGGTCTGGTCCATAACAACTTTGTAAAGTTAAAACGGATATAGGATGCAACATCCAGCTCAAGTACAACATTGCTAACATTGAATAAACAGTGCACACTAATTTATATCTTCTCTTCTTGCTATTGGCATTTGTTAGGTGTACATCTAGTATACTTCTCATCAGAAATGTGCACATTCATCTTTGATATTGTTTTTGAGCATTAGGAGAACAAGTAGCACTGAAAGAGGGTGATTATGGAGTCTAACTTCTTGCTTACTGTGTTTTAAAGGCCTGACTGTTCAGCAGGGAGTGCCATAATAGGCACTAACTGACAATAGATACTTGATGTAATTAACACTGATTGCTTAACATGGATGCTATACAGTAACTGACACGAGGCCTATGCTTTCCAGCTGGTGCACTGTAGAGTAATAAACTGTGTTATCCTGAGTCTATTGTGAAATACAGACATTACAGAACAATGAATACTAAACTTATAACATTGAACAAATTGTAAAATAAGGTAGGTGTTGGCTATGCAATCAGGCAAAACAACAGAAATTGACCATCTAACATTCAGTGCCCTGCAGTATAGTGGAATCAGTCACCACTATAGAATAACAGTAGAATGCTGGAGTAGGCTTACTTTTCCCTGCCTTGCTGACAGTGAAGTAAATAGGCCTGAAGTAAATTCTGGCTCACGATTCCGAACTTACCTACATCGGAAAATGATCTTAGCTACATAGGTTCACTGTATCCCAGATGTAGTCTCCCCTTTGGCAAAGCCTGGTATTTGGAAATAGGAAGTGGAATTCACAATAGATAACTATAGTTCATACCTTTTTCTAATTATTTCATGATATGTGGGTGTCCCTGGGCTAAAATTTGCAGCATAGCTAATTGCCATTGTGGCCGTGATGGTGACCTTGTTGCTTGAACTGTTGCAGTGCATCTGGATGTAGATAACTCATAGTACTATTGGGAAGGGAATTCCAGAATTTTGATTCAGTGATAGCAAAAGAGCAGAAATATAGTTCCAAGTCAGGATGGTGTGTGGCGCCTTATTCTTTATTACACATGTGTAAAATTTCTTACAATTTGCATTTGTATAACCTGGCTAGTTTATCCTCTATTCCAGCTTTTCCTTTTTATGAACTTTTTGGTTGCCCTTTACTGGTTTCTAAAACAGTCCTAATTTTCAGACTTACCATTATCCTTTGCATTGTTGCAAGCCTCTCCTTTTAATCTAACACTATTGTTTACCTCCTTGGTAAGCCATGGAAGCATCTTTCTCACTGAATTTTTGTTTTTGAATGGAATGTGTCTTTCTAATATTTTAAATTATACATTGCAATTGTTTCCTACTGTTCAGTTACAGACATAGGTTTTAGCCTATTTACCAAATCGACCTTAGCCAGATCTCTTCTCATACCAATGTAATTGGCTTTTTTTAACAAATACAAATTTAGTTTGCAGTTGGAGTATGTCATGTCAAAGTTACTGTCAAACTCATTGCTAAAACAGCATCTTCTGGACTATTTTTACCAACTTGATTCATCCTCACAGCTATTGCATTGTCTTTAATACAATATTCAACAATTTCTTGTTTAATGCTCTGTTCAGCAATATAGCTATTGTTAGAGGCTGACAAACTACTCCCATCAACATATTCTGACTCCTTTTATATTCCAGATCTCCAACTCACACTGTTTCTATTTCTTGATTTTCTAAATCAAGATTTTTTGCACTAATGTCCTTATATCAAGGAGCACCCATCCTCTATTTGCATTCTTCTCTCAATTTGAAATGTTGTGTATCATGGAATATTTATTTCCCAATTTTGGTCACATCAAAACCATGCTCCGTAATGGTGATTAGATCTAAACTACTTACTACTATTTGTGCCACTAGTTCATCTATTTTATTGCATACATTCCATGCATTCAGATAAACTGACCAATTTTGAAGAAAAGTCATATCAGACTGGAAACGTTAACTCTGTTTCTCTCTCCATAGATGTTGCCAGACCAGCTGAGTTTCTTCAACGTTATCTGTTTTAATTTCCAGCATCCACAGTATTTTGCTTTTATTAAAGTAACTTCAGTGTTACGTTTATTACTATTTCCTACATGGACCTTACTCTTAAGTGCAAAATTACTTTTAACTGTCTATCCCTTCCTGTCCCACACAGCGTGTCTACCCACAACAATATACTTTCCCAATTGCCTCAACTTTTACTGTTAGATTTCTAAATCTCCCTTCACGAAAACCCTTCTCCCACTCTGTTAGCTTGATGGCATTTCCCCTACTTTGATAGTGTTTACTAATGTAGTCTTATGTTTGTATGATTGATCCCTTCCTGGCATTTCTTTCCTCGCTCTATCAGGGCCAGATGACTCCCATGGGTGGGCCCTCAATACTTGGGCTCCTCTCGTCAACAAATTAATTTCATATGTGTGAATGTTGTCTGACCAAATGGTAATGAAGTCTGACCATGAAAACCGATTCGGTGTTGGATCAGTTGCATTGGGTCCATGTCAAGTTTACTTGGCCCACATGCTGTCCGTTGCAAATGGTCACAAGTATTTAACCCACTGATCTTATAACAGTGAAAGCACAATAAATAATAGATATTAGGGTATCAGTTCCTTGTACTGAACTGGCATGTGGCAGTATCACCCATCTTTTCCTATTACTATTCCCAACAGGTTAGTGGAAATTTCAGTTGTGTGCATTTGGGACATCTGATCAGCAAAGACTGGTAGACTGCTGCTGGAATTGGCATAATATCCTCATGGTCATTGATTCATTGGCTAAGCACATAGGTCCCCCACTTCTTGTGTGATGCTGCCATTTGTCTTTGATCTAGATCTAGCCCCAGACACACAGTTGGGCTTCACTACCACTGAACTGCCATCATATACTTTCCTTTACCTTGGCAGATTCTGGAGGGGTCAACTAACATGCAAACTGGGACCACCACCACCTTACACTCATGGCCTTTCTGACACAGAAGATCAACTTTGGGACAGATGGAAGTTTCATTTGTACCACAGCATTCTGCAGTGTTTCTCCAGTTAATATTTTAAATTTGATATTAAGCACACTGGAATATTAGACATTCATTATACAATACATATATATAATATAGCAAATTTATACAGTAAATAATCCAATAAAATGACCACATAACTATGTAGTGGTGAATTAATGCTGTAGCAACAATGAAAAGAACAAAACTTTCTGGATTAAGCAGAATTTTTAACTGAGATTTGTATTATTTCTTTTCATGTGATGAAACTGAATATTGTAATCTTTTGAAAACCTAAATAAAAATGGTGCTTAATGCATCTACAATATTATACTGACTTTAAACTGACTAACTGCTGTAAGATGATAATATGCAACCATAATGGAATTGGGAAATGCTGCAGTCTTTACATCAGCTACTTAATGTATAAGCAAGATATAATGACTAAGTCACTGGAACTTCATTAACATTTTTTATTGTTTTGCTGTTCAATTAATTGCATATATTGCAACTTGCTGTTCATTTATTTTCTCTCTACTACTATGTAAAGCAGGCAACCCCCTATCCAAAAACAAATACAAATAACAGTACCGGATATATTTCAATTCTTCAGATACAGTTGACAGTTTAGCTGATATCTTACTGTTTCTGTCCCCCAGAAGGCTATAAAACAGGTGTGTGTATTCAAGCATCAAAATCTAAACAACTTTAGATTTACCTGTGGTATTGGAGCAGTTACCGGGTGGGATCCATTCCTTAAAGTTGCAGTTCTGTGTGTAATGTGAAGTGCTATTCCTATTCTGGGATTTGAGGGAAGATTAAGAGCCCTGCCAGGAAAAGATTAAGGTTGTGAAGGACGTTTCTCCACAGCAAAGTCATAGAGATGTGCAGGAAGAAAAGAGAAAAGAAAGAGGTGTAAAGGAATATAACAGAAGTGAGAGAAAAGGAGATGAGGAAGAAGGTTAACAGAAAAGGATCACAATGGAAAATGAATGAAGAGAAGGCAAAAATAAAAGTTGAAAATAAAAAAAAAAGATTTGGTGCGAAAAGGAATATGTAGCAACATCCTACTACAGAAGACATGGCATTTTCCTGCTTGATTATATATAAGGTTGAATCATAGCAATACAACACAGAAGAATGCCATTTTGCCGTTGTGCCCATGCTAGCTCTAAATTAGAACGTCTGATTTGTTTCACCTCCCCGCAATTGAACTCTATATGTAATTCTGTTTGATTATTACTATAGAATATGCTTCCATTAACCTATCTTGCATTGACATCTTTGGCAACTGTCAAAATCTATTAATTATATAAGACTGTTCAATCTGAACATAGTTAAGAAATAGCTGGTTATGTTGTAAGAGGTCATTATGTTGAGATTGTACTCAGTCTTATCAAAGAATGACAAGCAAGAGAAAAGTGAAATTGATTCAATATTGACTTCAAAGGTAGTTCAGGGGACTTAAGACAAAATTTAGGGGAGAGATATGCATGGATTCCAACTCACCTCATAGCTTTCTGTGTAAATGCATGTGTAACTTTTTCTTGCCGTAAAGACTTTTTTCAATTGTTGAAGCTGAAATTAAATACAAATTATTAACCTGATTGCAAAATTGACTGAATGGAAGCAAACATAAAGTATGAATTATTGGTAGGATTATTTAACACAATGTGACCACTGATGTCCCATAAGGATCTAACAAAGCAAGGAAATATACAATGAATAGTAGGACCCTGGATAGTACTGAGGATCAGTGAGGCCTTTGTGCACACGTGCATAGATCCATGAAGGCAATAGGACAAGTGGATACAGTGGTTAAGAAGGCAAACTGGATATTTGTTTTTATTAGTTGAAGGGTAAAATCCAAGAACTGGGAGGTTATAATGGAGCTGTATAGGATATTATTCAGCCACAGCTGGAATACTGTGTGCAGTTCTAGCCACCAAACTAAAGGGAAGGTGTGATTTCTCTTATCAGCCATGATTGAATGGTGAAGCAAATTTGATGGGCTGGATGGCCAAATTCTTCTCCTGTATCTTGTGGCCTCTGGAGAGGGTGCACAGAATATTGACAGGATATTGCCTGGGCTAGAGCCCTTCAGGTGATAGAGAAAAGTACCATTACAACATTTAAGAAGTATTTAGACAAACACTTTAAATGCCATAGTGTAGAAGGTTATAGATTAGGGATCCTGTGGCATTGTGATAGTCTCCCTACCTCTGGACCAGAAGGTCCAGTTTCATACCCCACCTATTCCAGATGAATAACACCTTTGAACAGGTTAATTTGGAAATGTGATAAGGGCCATGGACCCAGTGCTGGGAAATGGGATTAGAGTGGATCGGTGCTTGATTACCAGTGCAATTCAATTGGTCAAAGGACATTTCTATGCTATAATAATCTATGACACTATAATCTTTGTTGGGGTCCAAGGATAGGGACAGAAAAAAATCGATCAAAAAGGTTAATGGAACGATGGTATTCCTATCTAGAGGACCTGCTTCAGCATTAAAGCCTTGGTTTTACCTGGAGTACTGTGTTCACTTCTAGAACAACACATAGAAACTAGGAGCAGGAGCCATTCACACCAGCTCTGTCTTCAATATGATAATGGCTGATCCTCTATCTCAATTCAATATTTCCACTTTCTCTACATACCCCTCGATGTCTCCAATATTTAAAAATTTAGCTATCTCTTACACTCATTTACCTAGCCTCCATAGCTTTCTGTGGTAGAGAATTCTAAAGGTTAACAACCCTCTGAATGAAGGAATATTTCTTCATCTTGGTCATAAATGGCCTACCCTGTATCCTGCATCTGTGGTCCCTGTTTCTAGATTCCCAAACTAGGGGAAATATCCTGCCTGCATTTATCTGTCTAGCCCCATTAGAATTTCATACATTTGAATCAGATCCCCTCTCATTTTTCTGAACTCTAGCGAATACAGGCCCAGTGAAACCAATCTCTCTTCACAAGACAGTCCTGCTATCCCCCATATCTGCGGCACACTCAATGGGAAGTATATTCTCTCTTAGGTAGGGAGGCCACAAATTACACGCAATATTTCAGGTGCAGACTCACCCTAGTATAACTTCAATAAGATATCCTTGCTCTGAACTCAAATCCTCTTGCAAAAAAGGCCAACATACCATTTGCCTTTCTGATTGTTTGCTTCATCTACCTTTTACTTCCATTGACTGGTGTACAGACCCTTTTGCATATCCACATTTCCCAATATATCACCATTTAAATACTACTCTGCCTTTCTGTTTTTCATACCAAAATGTATAACTTCACGTTTATCCACATTATACTGCATTTGCCATGTGTTCACCAATACTTCATCAAGCCCTTAGACCCTTAAACTGGCCTTCAAGGAAATGCAGCATTGATTCACTAACAATATTCTAGATTTTGTGGATTTCAAGGGTTAAGCTATGAGAAGAGATTATATAAACATGAACTGTATTCACTGGAATTTATGAGGCAAAGATATAATTTATATTAAAAGTTTTAAAATGCTCAGGAGAGCAGATAGAGTTCAAAAGGACAAGTTATTTCCACTAGTTAGAGAGCCTAGCAGTGTGTGTATGGGTGTGTGTATGGCTGGGTGGCAGGGGTTGGGGAGTATAGAGGGAAGGCAGAGAGAGAGAGACAGTCAGACAGACAGACAGAAATACAGATAATGATAATACAGATAATACAGATAATACAAATAATGATCATTTTAAAGTTTAGTTATTGTGCTCAGCACAATCTTTTATATGTGTGGTCATTGTCAATTGATTAGAACCAGGCATTTCATGAGCAGAAGACATTAGGATCTCTCTTCCATAAATGGGAAATGACCAATTGCAAATTTAAAACTTAGATTGACAGGTATTTATCAACCAAAGATATTAAAATATATGAGGCTAAAGGTGGGTATATGGAGTTAGATTGCAGGTCAGCCATTATCTCATTGAATGGCAGAACACAGGTAAAATGTTTCCATGTTCCTACAGCAATGGGATGCATGATGTCAAGTGTTGTATGAGAAACTGAAGACTATTTGAGGCTAAAAAGTACCTTCTGTGGACAAGTCTTGATCGGCGATTGGCCTTCTCAGTACACTGAGATCAGCGGCTCACAGTGCCAGGGACCTGGGTTTGATTCTACCCTTGGGTAACTGTCTGTGTGGAGTTTACACGTTTTTCCTGTGTCTGTTTAGGTTTCCTCTGGGTGCTTTGGTTTCATCCTACAGTCCAAAGATGTGCAGATTGGATGGATTAGTTATGCTATATTGCCCCTTGTGTGCAGGCGAGGTGGATCATTCATGGGAAATGCAGGGTTACAGGGAGTGAGTGAGATGCTCTTCGGAGGGGCAGTATAGGCTGAACGGCAGGCTTCCACACCATAGACATTCTATGAAGTTCTATTCGACCACGTGGCTAATGATGCAAAGTGAATAATTCACAAGTAGCTACTGAAGAGTAAGTGACACAGTCCTTTGCTTATTCACAGCGATGAGTGAGCTTTGAACTAGGCCAGGAGTACAAAAGTATAAATAAACATCTAACTGTCTTAACAAAAAATGTCCTGCCAGTCGCAGCAACGTCATGAGTTTGATCCAGGCTTTGCTGACAGGCTAATAGATTAACAAAGTGATTATGATTCAGATACAGATTAACTATGGCAATCTGGAGGAGAGGAGACAAGCTTTCTTTTCGGTGAATATGCTTATGTAAAGATAACAACAAACTAAAAATAGTCACATGACATTGACCGTACTAGTACAGTGTTTTAATCTATTTTAGTTTACCCATGAGCAGTACATTAGTGATCAATTATCAGTTGTTTCTCACTTGGAAATTAATTCACTTTCATTCAGGTTGTGGCTGAGAAACATGCTGAGATTTCTTAAATTATCATGAAAAGAATGGTACTGCAGGACCCATTGCTGTACTGTAATATCAGTGATACATTGTTTAGTTTTATCTATAATTCTCCCAATACTTGAAATCTATGCAATCAGAAATGGATACGTATCAACTGCCTTTATCTGAAAGATATGGAAGATAAAACATTTGTATTTATCTTGACGGTGCTGAATAGAAGTTTGTTCTGTTTACCATTCACTGTCTGTGGATAAAAGATTGCGCTTTTCAATGAAGACAACTGATAATATCCAGCCTCTTACTGGTAACCAAAAACTCGGTGCATCTCATTATGAGAGATTACTGCACTCGATCCAGTCCTATCCTCCTAACAGTAGCTGGTAACCTTGAATAACTGAGCCAAGATTTTAATTTATTATTGAGATAATACAATTCAATGTTTAATGATATGTGGCGAGCTTTGATTCTAGATAACATATTAAGCCACAGCCACAAATTGTGGTCAAATAAAAATTTCTCCTGGATAATGTGAAAACCTACAAGTAGAGGTCACTATTTTAAAAATGTATGTTTGACAACTTGGACCCTGCTGATAGCTGGCAATATGGATAAAACAGGAGAATTTGGACTACGCACCTGTGAATGAATCACAGGCTGCAAAATTCAACCTTCTAGTGTGTGCATTTTGACACTATGGGTAACATTTAGAGTATAAAATGCATCCTTGTAATGCATGCATTCTTGGGCAAGTCGTTTTTCCGTTTGCCTGGAAGTTTGCGTCAGGAGTATAAAGGGTAGGAAGATTATGAAGTCAGTCAGCATGTAATGTTGATATTAGATTAATAGTAAATTTTGATCTCTAATCTTTTTTTCATTCATTAATGGGATGAGGGCATTGCTGGCTAGGCAGCAATTATTGCCCATCCCTAATTGCCCAGAGGGCAGTTCAGAGTCAACCACATTGCTGTGGGTCTGGAGTCGCATGTAAGCCTGACCAGGTAAGGATGGCAGTTTCTCTCCCTATAGGTCATTAGTGAACAAGATGGGTTTTTCCTGACAATCGACAATGGATTCATGGTCATCATTAGATTCTTAATTCCAGATATATTTTATTGAATTCAAATTTCACCATCTGCCGTGGCGGGATTCAAACCCAGATCCCCAGAACATTATCTGGGTCTCTGGATTAACAGTCCAGTGATAACACCACCAGGCCATTGCCTCTAATGCTCCAGCTAGTGCCTTAGTAAACCTTGCTCAGCTAAAAATGCAATCAGCGATTAGAATAATTCCCCCACTTGCATTTTTAGAGAGAGCTTCATCAAATTTTATGGACTGATTTCTGATAGCTGTAGCTGAGTTATTAAAAGTGTTTAATGGTGTGTAAGTATATATATAAATTTTTGGAATTTGGATTTTAAAATAGAGCTAGATATGTTACAAAAAAAAGTCAGGGAGTCCTTCCAGAACTTAAGTCCAGCATTTGTCATAAAGTAGGTGACTGCAAGAACCACTAGTATTAATAGAAATTTGCTTATACATTTGGGTTTATGACAGGTAGGTAAACATTCATCATCATTTGCTTAATATCAGAAGAATCTAGGATTGAGTAAAATTTTAATTCAGTTCATAAAATACCAGGGTTGAATTTCAGAATTAAGTTTATTTTAGTTTAGAGAA